ATAATCAGGTGGCGAGTGTTATGGCAGCGAACTCGATGTTCAATGGAAAGAAACGGATTATTCGTCTGAAGCATGACTATTTGAGAGAACTTATTTGCCAAGGGGTCATCTCTATGATTAACATCCGGTCTTTAGAGAATGTGGCTAATCCTTTGACTAAGGGTCTGAAAAAAGACATAGTCGAAAGGACGTTTGCTGGAATGGGTCTCAAAGTTTTGTGAGTCATACAAATACTTACAATGTACATGAAGTTATTAGTTCAAAGCTTATGCTATTAATGATAAGATAATTGGTTCAAAAGTCAAGTAAGATTTATAAAGTTTGGTGAGTCTTATAAATACTTACCATTTAAATCAAGTTATTAGTTCAAAGCTTACGCTACTAATGACAAGATGATTGGTTTAAAAGTCAAGTAAGATTTATAAGTGAAATCATATAGAGGATGACTGTTAAGCCTTAATGAGTCCAAAGCATTTCAGATGCGGACTGTTGGATAGGTAACATACCTAAAGGACTCACCGATGATCCTATCATGTAAAGGGGATGGTTATTAACCCTTAATGAATCCAAAGCATTTCGGATGCGGGCTATTGGATAGGTAGCATGCCTAAAGGACTCACTGATGATCCTATCATGTAAAGGGGATGGCTGTTAAGCCTTAATGAGTTCAAATCATTTCGGATGTAGGGTGTTAGATAGGAAACACGTCTAAAGGACTCACCTAGAATTTTATCATGAGAGATGATGACTTTTAAGCCTTAATGAGTTTAAAGCATCTCGGATGCGGGATGTTTGATAGGAAATATGCCTAAAAACCCACCTATGCCTGGATGGCGATTTGGTCATCTCCCACGGTATCTTGTGGAAAGATGCCTAGAGCCCTAGCAGAAACCAGGACATGCACATGGCCATAAATGTACAAGGCTAAGGCAAAGGCTAAGTCAAAGGCAAAGGCAAGTGTGCTTCAAAGTGAAAACTACCACATATGAATTTAATCTTGTGTGATCGCTGGACTTTTAGACATGTGCTGGTTCAAGTCTCTACGACACCATGCATTTATCTTTTATTTAGTTGGTCTAAAGAGCATTCAAGTCCTTACGACATCTACTTATGCACAACGATTAAAACAACGGCACTGTTACACGACAATAGTTTTTAAAAACTTGTAGGGGATTGTTGAATTTTTTGGTCAAAGCTGCTTTCCAAAAATGAGTTTTCAAACTATGTATTTATTAATTGCTGGCATTTTTCAAAAATCCATAGTAGCATAGAGAAAAGTTAAAGTTTTGGTGTTTCAAAAGGTCCTGTGTTCGAGGGTTGCTAATGGTAAGCCGAGAATTATTTTTATTCAATTAATCCCTCATAAATTCTAGTGGATCATAGGCGTGGGCTCGTGGGCCTATGAGCCCGTAGGCTGTGGTCCAATGGTTCGGGGATCGAGGCTAATCGGGCTGAGGCGCTGAGTGACGCTTTGTAAGACGCACTTCGCACGGAGGCATCGGGGCTAGATGGCGCCACGTTGGTTGCTACTATGGCCGCCACACGGCAAGGGAACGCGACTCTCGTGTTCACACGAGGTGCGACTCTCATGTTCACACGAGGTGCGACCCTCGCGTTTGTGATAGAGAATGTGACCCTCGCGTTCGTAAGTCTCGATACAACACTCGTGTTGCGTAGAAACGCGAACCTTGCATTCAGGCGTTACTACATCAGCAATTAAGCCTGCATGTAGCAGTTACAGCAATTAATTCATTTGTTATTACAATCATAATTGCCATTATAATTTCTAACAGTCATATTTATGATTGTTTGTGACCCTTGAGCTGACCTTAGAGGCCTATAAATAGTGCCCCTTGGGGCAGCTCTTGTTTATACTTGAACACATTGAAGTGTTGAATCTATTGAGTTGTTGTGCTGCTGCTGCAGAGTTTGAAAGCGTGCAAGTTTTAGTCTGTGCCCGAAGGAATATAACCCTGAACCGAAAGGTTTTTACAGATCGAAAGATCTTTTTTTTAACAGAAATATTTTTTTAGATCGAAAGATCTTTGACTGAAATGAAAGGTTTTGAACCAAAAAGTTTTAACAGATCAAGGAGATCTTTGCCTGAACATAAATATTTTAACTGAAAAGTTTTGAACCAAAAGGTTTAATAGATCGAGGAGATATTTTCTTTGACCAAAAGGTCTTATAGATCGAGGAGATCTTGACAGTACTTGGTCGGTGCACATCAGTATACTGTACTGTTGTTCCTTGAAGCAGTTTGGCCTTGAGATCCTTGCATCGGAGTAGACCAAGTATTGCTTTAAGCACAGCGTTTATAAATACACAACAGCTAAACTTGAAAAAGTTTTAAAAATATAACACTTCAACTATCTAACATATTTATCTGTTTTATTCAAGATTTAGCCACAGACGCCAACAATTGTTTGGCACGATTCTGACGTGTACGTATGCTCGAAAACTTCTTAGGTGCTCCATGAGGACTACGATAGCATACATCATTTCAATAGGAGGAGGCCACGTGGTGCAAACCACGTACAAACGTGAATGGTGATAGAAATAAAGGGATAATTTATGCTACATGACATTTTCCCTATTGAAATTATTCAGATTGTGTCTTTGATTCTTTATATAACTTCATGAGAATTAGATATGATTAGAAAATTAGGAAAATTAGGCCAGAGATAGAGTTTTGATTTTCCTATATATAGTCTTTTATTGATGGAAGAAAAATCAAGAAGAAAAGAAGAGAGACACTATTCTTGTAATCTCAATCAGCAGAGCGCGTAAACCGGATTCAAGAATATATATGCACGAGAGGCAAGAATTTCATATTCTTTATCCGTGCAAAATATTACAATATTGGAGAGAGTTTTTATAGTCTTTGTCATGCAAAAGTTTACAATATTAGGAGAGAGTTTTGCAGTACGTTTCCATCCAAAAGATTGTAAGTACATGGCCTTTGAGAGGATGTGGGAGTTGATTATGCATGTGAGGTTAAGAGATTATGCGACAAAAGTTAAGTGCTTCTTGTAGTTCTCCTCGTACTAGTTAATTTTCTAGTATTGTTGTCTTGTAAATGTAGGTCGAAATTGATTGATCGAATCACATAAATTTTAGAGTTCTTTCTTCTTAATTGTGGTTGCTTTTATCTTGTGATTTCTGGTTGGCTTTCGAGTTAGTGTAGATTTTAGGTGGGAGACTAAAACCCCAAGGGAGATGTGTAAGCCTCAAGATTTATCGATCTACAGTTAGGGGTGTCCAAAAAGCCCGGCCTCGGCCCGGAAACCCGGGCCAAGTTCGGGCTCCGGGCCGGGGTCGGCGCCGCTATTTGGTGCGCGGCCCGGCCCGGCCCGGAATAATATTATTATTATTATTTTATATTGGTATTATATATGTATAATATATGTATATATAAATATATATAATTGTATAATATATGTATATATAATAATATTTTTATATATGTATAATAATGTATATATATAATGAGAAAAATGGAGAAACTTGTTACCAAGTAGCTTGGTAATGAGGTGGCGGAATCTGTCCATACATCTACATTGAATGGTGAAGTGTACTTGAGGCCTCTACTTCAAGGTGTGATGTATGGACAAGATTCGTCACATCACTACCAAGTAGCTTGGTACCAAGTTTCTCCATTTTTTCTCATATGTAAATATGTATATATAATATATTTCTATATATGTATAATATGTCATAATGTGTGTATATATATACTCTCTCTTAGTATATAAGTATATATTGTATAAAGTATATATATGTATATAGTATATATAAGTATACTTCTCTTATATAAGTATATATAAGAATACTCTCTCTATATATGTATAATGTATGTATGTATGTATATATATATCTCTCTCTCTTAGTATATAATGTATATATAAGTATAGCTCTCTCTTATATATTGTATCTCTCTCTTATATAAGTATATATAAGATACACTCTTATATATATATATATATATATATATATATATATATTATATATATATAATATATATATATGATATATATATAACACTAAATATACTCTCTCTCTTAGTATGTATGTATATATAAGTATATCTCTCTCTATATATGTATACTCTCTCTTATATAAGTACTCTCTTATATATGTATATAGTGTGTGTGTGTGTGTGTGGTATTACTCTCTCTCTTAGTATATAAGTATAGTATATTACAACGGCTACTTCTTCCCCATTGGGCGCCAACGGGCAACGGCTACTTATGCGATTCTCTCTCTCTCAAGTTATAACTTATAAATATATACAATATATTTACATATAATATATGTATATATAATATATAGTTACATAATAATTTGTAATTATATACTAAATAATTATATAAAATATAATAATATTAAACTAATTTTTAGCATTTTTAATAAAAAAGAAAAGAAATTAAAAAAAACCTAGTTGGGATGTATTTATCTATTGTGATGCGATGAATTCCAAAATAAATTTATACTTATAATTTGTAAATGATTTATTAATTATTAATAAAGAATTTATTTTTATAATTTTTATTTGTAATTTATGTCATTTTAAGTGATTAATAAAATTATTGTTTTTGTATAACTTTTTTGTCTTTTTTTATAATTTAAAATTTAAAAAATTAAAAAAAATAAAACGCGGCTGGCTCGAAACCGGCCCGGTCGGGTCCGGGCTCCGGTTTTGCTCGGCCCGGGCCCAGATTTTCGTGCCGGGCCGGGCCGGGCCGGCCCGGATGGACAAGTCTAGATCTACTCAGCTAGATTAATCTAGCATTGATGATGTGCCCTGTAAAGTAACCGTTGGTGTTCAAATTGTTTTAATGCTGACCAAGAAAAATTGCAGTAAGATACGAATACTACTTTGTTTTTTCTGTACACAAGGTATTGCCCTCATCTTCATTATTTTTTCCTCTCTCGAAAGTACACTCGTCACTCTATAAAAGCCCTACACTGCCACTCAAAGGAACACGCAACAAAAATCAAAATAATTTCAAAATGGGGCAAAAATATGAACTTCACGTCCTCCTCCTTCCTTATCCGAGCCAAGGCCACATCAACCCCATGCTGCAATTTGCCAAGCGCCTATCCTTTCATAACATCCAAACTTCTATGGCAATCACCCGGTTCATCTCCAACTCCACCCGACCCGAACCCGGCCCAGTGTCAATCGTTCACATCTCGGACGGATTCGATGAAAACGGGTTCAGTTCAGCTCCAAGCATTGAAGGCTATTTAACCCGGTTCGAATCAATCGGGTCTGAAACGTTAACCGACCTAATTGAATTGTTCCGGTCCAAAGAAAACCCGGTACAAATTTTGGTTTACGATGCATTTTTGCCGTGGGCTTTGGATGTAGCGAACCGGGCTGGGATCCGAACCGCTGCCTTTTTTACACAATCATGCGGAGTTGATGCGATTTATTGGCAAGTTTGGGAAGGTCGCCTTAAATATCCAGTGAATGAACCGGTTCAATTGGGGCCCGGTTTGGTCCGGTTTGAACCATGGGATTTACCCTCGTTTTTATCAGATCCTATTCCGGGTCCATACCCGACTTATTTGAAACTAGTGTTGAACCAGTTTGAGAACTTGAAGAAAGCGGATGTGCTTCTGATCAATTCATTCTATGAGCTTGAGCCGGAGGTAAGTTTACTACTTATATTTATTTCTTACTCTTAGATATACATACAAAATAGTTTCTCTCGCTGATTTTTGTCCTCTTTGATAAAAATAGCCCTTTGAATTTGTATGCTCACAAACTTGTCCTCTCTTTTGGATCGGAGGAATGGTTGGAAAAAGGTTCACCTTTTCTTAGCTCTTTATTGTTTTCCATGACTTTTCTTTACTTTAAACCAAACATTGTTGGGAATTCCATAACGAGAGTCCACTTACATATTGAAAAAGTCAGATGAACTTCAATAAAGTTGGGACTAACATCTAATATCTAATAGCTTAATCTTATGACTTTAATTGATTCTCAAACTAAGCTTAGTACCCATTAATTTTCAGGAATTGTACCTTATTTCATCCCTAGCTATATGTAGGATTTAGTTACTCCGCAGATACGGAAGATTGAGTAATAACTATCAAAGTCCCTACCTATTATATCAAAACCTCGATGTTCTAGTGTGAGTTGAGGATCATATTTTTATATTCTTACACGTCTTGAGGTTTACCATCTTTTTTTATAAGCTAAATTCTAGACTCACGTAATGGTGTCAATTTTTAGAAAATCTGCTTTAAATTCATGGCATGTGGGATTTAAACCTGGATTGCTCCGATAACATGTACTCAAAGTTCCTAATTATTACACCAAACATCTAAAGTTACGGTGGGTTATATTCTAACAGTAATAACCCCTCTCTCCTGGTGCTAGTTTAGACCATATCAGCGGATGTTTCAATAACTATACTATAATCCCAAATAGGGTGAGAGGTTCTTAGAAATTTCATGTCAAAATACAGTTCTACATTAGAAGAGTGAAGAATGAACGATGAATTTAAACAGAAAATAACTTAAGCTTTTAGGGAGATTTAATTTGATTATCAACTTTTATTGGAGTCATTTAGTCCCATAGTGAGCTCGTTTCTCCCTGACACGCATTTGATTAGAAATATGTTCTGGATTTCTTTGCTAACGTATTTCGTTTATGACTTAGTTTCTTTGCTGATGTATTTGTTTAGGACTCAGCATTTTTAAGTTGATTTAGGTTCTGCAATTTTCCCCATAAGTCAAGATCTCATTCTCTTTCTTCTCCTACTTTTTCTCATGAGAAGATCATGACCTTTGATTGATAAATCAAAGGTCAAGATCTCATGAGGAAATCTTAGGAAGGGTCCTCGTTAGTAGAGTATCCCAATCCCAACTTGCAGAGGGGTCACCTTTACGAAAACATGATAGTGGGCATCTTCAAGAAGTGTATAGCATATATCTAATAGTTTGATGCGATTGGTTACAAGATTTTTATTTTTATTTTTTTTATTTTTTTAAGCTAGGAGTTTGCCAAACTTGCTATCCCACGTGAGAGTTGAGCCAGAATAAAAGGTGAATTCATCCACGTTGGCTCAATTTTCTGTGCTGGAATTGTTGGTTGGTGCACGACATTGTTACACATTTATTAGGCAATCAGTTGACCGTTATTATCTTCAGGTAGTTTTTTTATGAATTAAGGATGAGATCCGTGTAAAACTCGTATACAAATATCGGCTGATACTGTCTCATCTTTTTAACCCATTCAAGGAACTAATAATAAACAAATATACGTCAGTGTTAAGCGAAGAACCTAGACAGATTCCATCTTTTCAATTGTAGGTAAACAAATGAGAATCCTAGATTGGTGCAAAATTGAAAATGCGGTGTCCTTAAAAATTTTTGTCTGACATTCCTAAAAGAGCTATCAGTAGATGACGGTCAATTCTTCTAGTCTTATAACAAATTTATATGGGTGGGTTTTATCATTTTTCATCTCACAGTTTCTCATTTAACAAAATGAGCTTTTAGCCTGCAACCATCTAGACCGTGTATATAATTAACAACTCACTGTAAAATAACCAATTAAGAAAATAAGCTTCCACTACTTTTATATATATATATAAAGTAAAACTCCTATCCACTTAAGTGGATAGGAGGCATTGTCCACCAAACTTTTTATCCACTCATCTTGTCTTAAAATTTGTGCCACCAAAAGATGCACAAATCTTAAAAGATTCTTCATATCTATCACGGATCCCAAATGCAATATCAACGGTTAAAAAAATTGGTGGATGATTTATTCATATCCACTTAAGTTGACATAAGCTTTTACCTATATATATATATATATATATATCCCAATGCAATATCAACGGTTAAAAAAGTTGGTGGATGACTTATTCCTATCCACTTAAGTTGACATAACTGTAATCTGACCCATCATTTTTTATCGATACTCTTTAATTTTTAATTTGTGAAGTCATGACTGAAAACTCTGCTGAAGTATATTTCAAGTTTTCGTCTGTGTATATATAGACGATTCATGTACACGAGTGACTTTGATGCTGCTGAAGTATATTTCAAGTTTTCGTCTGTGTATATATAGACGATTCATGTACACGAGTGACTTTGATGGATGATTTCCAGTTCATGTACTTGACGTCATGTATATATAGACGATTCATGTACACGAGTGACTTTGATGGATGATTTCCAGTTCATGTACTTGACGTCATACATATTGTTTTATAAACTAGCGTAGATTTGTTGATATTGTTTTTCTGCATGTTTTCGGTAATCAGAAAATTAGACGATTAAATCCTCTGGACTGAAACTTTTGAATGCATTAATCTTGAATAATATTATGTGCGTAAAAAAAAAAACTTATGTGATAGACAATTCCGGGGCTGCAGGAAATCTGGTAGTTGAATCTTGGAATGGTCGAGGGTCGTCGTTGAATGAAGACAAGCAGAATAATAGCAGATGGAGGAGAAATGTATGGAAATAGTTAGATTATCGTTGGCTTTGTTTAGGATACATTAGATTAAATAATCATTATACAGTAACATCTGTAATAGCTTAAGCAATCGAACAATCGCAAATTGCTTCCGGAGGAAATTCATTTATGAATTGTACTATATTGATTAATGATCTATATGTGGAATATGTAATTCTTGCTATGAGTATTAGTTTGTGCTCCATGGAAATTTTGTTTCTTCTCAGATATATGTTCTTAAGCATTCGTGTGATGTTCCTATTAAACTGTACTAGAAATATCCTTGACTTTCGACCTGGCGTACGTCAGTTATCCTGGTAACTGTCTTTCTCAATTTATGAAGCATATTGTTAGGGCACAACTATGCAAGTGATAGTAACTAGTATCAATAAAATTAGCAAGGTATAATGTAGCTTGGCTGGATATGTGAGTTAGGAAGGTCGGATAGTTTGTGTGAACAATGACAGTGTACAGCTTTATGGTTATGAAGGGTGTCCACATTTGTATCAACTATTTTAGGGTTATGTTAAAAGCAGAGAATCATGAGTAACATGGATTGAGGTTTTAGATGAATATGAAACACTTCATGTGGCACTACTAATAGATGAGGCCTACATGGAATACTTTGATGAATGGTTCATGGTTATCGGTATGCAATCGCTGGAGTATTCTCATTGCATAATTCAAGTCACGCAACTTGGAAATCAAGGTTATGGAATGGTTTAGTTTATCTGTGATGCAGTTGTTCAACTTTTTCAACCGCAATACGTCTTTGTTACTAGTCCCATGTTGCTGCAGGGGATAATCTGCCAGTCCACAATCAAAACTTGCAATTGCTTGTGCATTTTAATACCTTATGGGCTTATGTAAAAATTTCTGCCAGTCCACAATCAAAACTTGCAATTGCTTGTGCATTTTAATACCTTATGGGCTTATGTAAAAATTTGTTCCTCTCCTATGTGGGGGGTTGCAATTGCTTGTGCATTTTAATACCTTATGGGCTTATGTAAAAATTTGTTCCTCTCCTATGTGGGGGGAACTAGGAGATTCTATTGCACATGGTTTTAATTTTAATGTTCCATCTTTTGTTTAATAATATTTTTAATGTTCCGTCTTTTGTTTAATAACAAGTGCCTATTGTTTCTTCTTTTCATTTTTATGGTTTTTTATTAGACGATTTATTAAATGTCAAATTTACCCCCCTCGCTCTTATATGTGATCAATGATCAAACTGTAAACAATTATTAACATGCTACATAATTAATAATGCCAAGCTGAGAACAATTATTCACATACTATATGATTAATAATTACACACAACATGGCGATCTCTCACTGACTAAAATTCAAGTAGTTCACGGTATGCTTAGGTTAATTAGATAATTTATTAAATGCCAAATTTACCCTCTTGCTCTTATATGCGATCAATGATCAAACTATAAACAATTATTCACATGCTACATGAATAATAATGTCAATCTGCAAACAATTTTTCACATGCTATATGATTACTAATTCACAAAGTAGCGATCTCTCACCGACTAAAATTAAAGTAGTTCAAAGTACTGCATAGTTAGTTTAAAATTTTATTTATACTATTATTATTTAAATAGAACTCTATTTATAATTGTTATCCTCTCACATGCAACATCATATACCAATATATATAAGCCAAAAAATTACAATAATTTCTATAGCATTTTTATCTCCTTCTACAGGCATGTGCCTTTGTTATTAGATTAGATTAGATTATTTTAAAGTAATTAATTATATTATATATTTAATTTTTTTTTCAGATCAAGAAATTATAATAATTTTCACAGTACTTTTATCTTCTTCAACAAGTATATGTCTTTGTTATTTTCTTCTTATTAGCTAGATTAGATTATTTAAGAATTATAAATTATAAAATTGCAACAACTTTCACAGAACTTTCATCTATTTTCTTCTTATTAAATTAGATTAGATTATTTTAAACTAATTAATTATATTATATGTTTGATTTCTTTTCATATCACAAAGTTTAATTATACTACTATTATTTAAATAGATATTGTTTGTATAAAAAGTCAAAGAGAATCTCACACATATCTTTGATCTCAATGCCAATTATAATACATATATATGAGTTTTGGTTAAAATAAATTTCATGTATGGGGTTAACTTAAATGATCCT